CAGCCTTCTTGAGCTGGAGAGCCGCCGCAGTATGCGCGGTGGATGGGACGTTGGCCAAAACGCGACGCGCAAGCTGCAGGGAGGAGCTACAGCGGCTCCGCTCCTCATGCTGGTTCGCCAAACCGAGACGTTGAGGTCCTCGTACACTCATGTCGCGCCTCGAGTAAGAGCCATCACGCTGCCCAGCGCTGGACCGTCGTAAGGTCCGGCCTTAGGCCAGCTCGCAGCACTGTATGAACTCACGCTGGCGAGCACCATCCCAGGATGAGGCCTTCAAGAGCGCGCGCCAGGGACGTCCGTATGGCAAAATCGGCGTGAATTCGCTATGAAAACGCTTCCAACCCATCAAGAGCGGGCTCAGAAGAGACGATACTAACCCAGGATCACCAGGGCACCTTAGGGTATCGAAATTTTCCACCCCCCCACCCCCTCCCGCTCCCCCGGCCCGCGCCTCTCCCCCTAACTAACACACGCACCACCGCTGACACCCTCACCAGGCCTCTCCCCCCGCCTCGCCGCTCTCGCGGTGCAAGCCGACTCCTGGCGACCGTCCTGGTCAGCGGCCCTTGCCAGGACGGTCCGAGCGCCGCGCTCGCTCCGGTGAGCGAGCACTACAGTAGCACACCGCACCTGCACCGCCTGTAGTGGCACCGGCACCAGCCTCCCCAGCCCCGCCTCTCCAACGTCTCACTCGCCACCCTGCTCGCTGCCGCCCCGCCCGTCGCCACTGCCACTAATCTGCCGCTCCGCAGCCCGCTCCACCTTCCCGCCCGCAGCGCCTCCCGTGCCGACGCAGCCTAGAGACAACAGAGCTGGGTCAATATCACCGCGGGAACGCCTCCTCTCGACGTGGGACAGAGCCTCCTCCACAACGTCGAGAGAGCGACGGCCAGCGTGGCGCGGCGCAACGTCGCGCGGCAGTGGCCGCAGTGGCTCGAGGCGGGCAGCGCCGGCGACAACGAACGCGGAGCGCGCGGCGACAGCGGTGGCGAGAGCCGAGGGACGTGACTACACCCTCGAGCGCCGTGCGCGCGCAACCTCGTCAGCCAACCACGCGCCGCACCAGCGCCGCGAGCGACGCCTCGAGGCACAACGTGCAGCCGCCGCATCCCCCGCCGCCGCCGCCGCCGCCGCCGCCGCCGCCGCTGCCTCGCTCCACGGCGGCGGCGGCGCCGCCGCCGCAGACTGTAAGCACCAACAGCCGGCGGCTCGGCACGCGGCGGCCGCCTCCGGCCTGGGGGCGCGTCGGCAGCGCGGCGCGCCACCTCGCTGCTCGACACGCGCCGGACCTGTCATGCGCGGCTGCGCCACCGCTTCCTCGTGCGGCGCCGTCGCCGCCGCCACGCCGGCCGCCTGCTGTGAGCGCCGCGCTGCTCGGCCGCACCCGCCCGTGCCGGCCGCAGCTGCTCTGCCGTCAGCGCCGTCGCCGTCACGGGCCAAGCCGCCGTTGTCGCCGCAGCCACGCCCGTCGGCCTCGCTGCCGCCGGTCCAGCATGGCTGACACCGCCACTACCACGGCACCGGGCAGGGTGAGGCGCTAGAGGGTGAAGGGTGCATAGAGGCGAGGTGAGGCGGCACCTAGGGGCAGTGACCCCCGTGAGCCGGCAAGCCGACGCGCCACTACCGGGCAAGATGGAGGCCGAGCTGCGACCCTCACAGCTCTCGCGGCATGCGTCCAGAGCTCGATTCATCTGCCTCGCCGCTCGCTCGCCGCCTTTTGTGGGACCTAAAGAGAGAGGTTCTGAGCCGTCGGGCGGCGCTGATGGTGGCCCGCGTGGGTGGAGCCCGCGGCAGCTAGGCCGCCTGGGCGCGGGGGGGGTGGTCCGGTGCTTCAGAGGCAGCGTGAGCGACGGGGGGGGCGAAGGATGTGAGGCGGCTCGCCTGCAGCGCCCACCTGCTGGGCCGTCTGGATCTGCGATTACGCCTCGGGAAATGCGAGATCATCCAGAAAATGTCTGCAGACCTCAAACCGATGGCCTCAAAAAGTCGTTGTCAGCCACCGATTTTCCGTGTCGCCCGACCCGCCACCTCACCGGCCCGGCGTTCGGAGGCGTAAAATCTTGGTCGGCCGTTGGGCCGGTGCCATCGGCCGCGGTCGAGTCGACCGTGCCCCGTCTTGGGCACGATGGACATGTGACCGGCTCCGGTCAAGATGTGCCCCGGCATGGCGGATGAGGCTCTCAGGTTGGGCGACGCGAGCGCCGAGAAGGTGGAGCAAGACCTCGCGTCCCACATGGGCTTGCTCGGTTGGCAGGGTTGGATTTGGGTTCTTTGTGATGCGCCAACTTCAACTTCCGGAACGACTCAACAGGGCCCAAAGACGGGGGAGCGACCGGCCTACCTTCGATGATGGACACTACCCACGTTTAGTTGGTAAACTGAACACTTTGTGGTTTTGTCCTAGTTGCGTCTATAAGACACGGTTTGGTCTTTAAGTCGAGAGAAAGGAAGACAGACAAAGAGAGATCGTGCAAGGGTAACGCGGCGCGATTACAAGGGTAACCCGGTGCGTGAGCTCCTCTGCCTCCTACTCACATTTCCTGAGGTGGCCGCCTGCCGGTACAGGTCCCGCGCCGGGTTGAACTTGTGCCGCAGCGGCGCCGTGCTGCAGCTTGCGTGGAAGGCACGTTTGAAGGCGTTGTCAAACTCGCAGACACCCGCCCAGGAAGACGTGTTGTAGCCCGCGAGCGGCAAGAGCACGGGCGGCACTGTGTCCCAGCAGAGCGGCACGCGACGGTCGAGCGCGTTCGCCGCGCGCCAGTCCACGTGCGGCAGCACGCGGCGCACGGCGTCCACCAAGGCCGCGCTTCGCCACGCCGTGCCGGCGAACATGACGCGCACGACGCCCATTGGCGCCGCACCCGGCTTCGAGCGCACCCACTGCTGCAGCGCGCTCGAGAAGGGAGGGTACCACGGGTTGTGCATCGAGACGGCATCTGCTCGCGGTGCATGCTTCAACGAGAAGCGCCGTTGCATCCAGACATCCTCTTCGATGAAGATGGTATAGTCACAACCGCCCCAGGCCGAGGCAGTGGCCATGTGCTCGAACATGGCAGCGATCTTGCCGATTGTGTCCGCTGTCACGGCTGTGTTCGGGGACTGGTACTCGTGACCGAACTTTGTGTGCGAAAAATGGAAAGCACAGCGTGCTGCACCCACGCACACGTCCGAAAGATCGGCGCCGCCGGCGTCCGCGACGATGTAAATTGGCACCGTGGGATAGAAGGAGCGCACACGGTCAAGCACCAGCCGAGCCGACGCATCGTGTGTGGAGGTCAGCATGAAGAAGCCGTACAGACCTTCTGCGCATGCAGCAGTGCTGGAGGCGCCTCTGGGATGTGTGTGATTCATGGGCGGCGCGCAGGGCGGCTGACAGGGAGCAATCCGTTTGGAAACTTGTCACTTCCGTGTTGCCCTGCCGAACATGTGGCGACATTCCCGGCAACATTTGCCTGAAATAAATAAAGTAGATGTCGTGTCCTGTCGCGACATTTGCCTGCGATAAATAAACTCAAATGTGTACGTGCCCGTGTTGCAAACAGTTTAGCCCTGGCATAGACCATAGAGCATAGTTGTTGCGCCGATGTATGTGCCTGACTGCGCTGCACCGCTGCAGACGCAAACGCGCCAAGCAGTTAAGGACAGAATTCCACGTAATGTGTGCATAACACACGCATTCTTGTGTTTAATAATTTTCCCCATTATCACGAACACACGCGTGAAGGTACAAAACACTATAGAAACCCAATGTCGATGTCGTGTTGCAACATTTGCCTATAGACAAAATAAATCAAATGTCGATGTTGTGTCGCCACTTGAACCCGCATGCCGCAAGCGGGCGTACGAACCGCGAGCGGCTCGCACTCGTGACACGCAGGCGTCCGACAGACGGCGCCGGGGCTAGGCGACCGAAGAGGAACTACGGCTTCGCTCGGGCTCAGGTACAGAATTTCACAACAAAAGGCTCTCGGTACAGAAAATAACGCTGTGCGAGAAGCTCTTCGGCCCCCTACTACGGATGGTGCTGGACTCGCTGCTGCCCGAGCTCAACGCGCAGTCGGCGACGCTGGCGCTCGTCCTCGGTTTCTCGGCCATCTCCCTCACTCTCGGCGTGCGCGGGGTGCGCGCCGCCTGCCCCGAAGTGCCAGCGTGCGCGATCGGCGAGGCCACGCCTGGTGAGACTCCCGCTGAGCCGTCCACCGCCCGTCGCGACGCAGCAAGTGGAGGCCGGGACGCTGCTGCCGCGCGGGCCGCTCTACAAGGCGTTTGTGTCGGACGCCGAGTCGTACAAGCAGTACGGCCAGCCTGCGCGTGCACTGGTCGGCCTCTTCCTCATCGCCTTCCAGGCTTGGACCTGCCTCGCGGCCCGGGCTTGACCGAGATTGACCGAGATTGACCGAGATTGGCCGAGATGCTGTGGGTCAGCCTCGCCGCGCCTCCCGGAGAGTCGCTCGTCACACAGCGCCACCTCTTCTGCTCCAGGCGGTCTTCCTTCTCGGCCCGCTGTTCCTCATCTACTCTGACGCGTTCGCTCCGGCAGCACCTGCTCTTGTGGAGTGCACGGGCACACCTAGCCGCCGCGGCCTCGGCTGCTCAGAGGGCTGCGTGCCGCGCGGCGGGGCGTGCGTTCCCACATAGCTGTCGCACAGCTGCACGTCGTGCCGGCTGCCGCCGTCGCTGCGCTGCGCAAGCGGCGGTCGCACACCGGCAGGCCCACTCAGGCCCAGGGGGGGCTTCGCGCTGCGAGGGTATGTGTACGTGTTTTGTGTTTTACCCCAACCGACCCGCGACCCCCCTCCCCCATTTGCATTTCGCGTTCTCCACTTTCTTTTCTTGCATCTGGGGACTGCGTGTGCCCCGCAGGCGCTGGGCGGCTCCCGTGGTGTACCTGTGCCACCACTCACCGAATTCTTCCCATCGGCCTCACCCGCTGGGCGCTGGCGCTGTCGAACCACCAGCCCGACGCGCACTACAGTTAGTGCCCACCATGCTGGCGATCCTCTGCACGCCTGCCTACGTGCTGCCCAGACTGCCGCCCGCGGTGGCCTCGCGCAGTCACTTCTCGCTCGCAATGCCGCCGGAGGAAGAGGACTGGGCGCGGATAGAGCCTACGCGGGAGCGGGATCTTTTCATCCCCATTCTCGTCGGCGTGTCATTTGGCGGGTTTGTGCACCGCGTGAAATCCGCGTAGTAGCGGGTAGGTCTCACTCCTCTCTGTGTGCAAGGTACGCTCTGATCATCCTGTACGACGTCTTCTTCGGAAATGGTCTCTGCGGGCTGACTATAACGTGTTCATCCTCTCCCTGGGGCTGACGATACTTGATCCTGTCTCTCGAGACCTTGAGACACGACCTTGTGGCCTGAGAAAACGCGCCCACGACAGTATCTCTCCCTCTCTCTGCTGTGTGTCGCCGTCTTTTCGGGGCACGCAATCCTGTGCAGTAGGGCAAGTGGGGGCGGGGGGCAGTCCCTTTCACGTATGTTAGGGGTGCGGAGGCTGTCAGGGAGGCTGAGTTGCACACACAGGGGCTGTGCGCCGGCCCTCCAGGGCTCGGCTCTAGCGAGTAGAGACAAGTATATTGTCTCATCAACAGAGTAGATCGGGGCCGATGTGACAAAGCGCTGGTAGCGTGGTTTAACCTCACACCCATGGTCTCACAGTGTGCCGGCAGTCGCCGAGCAGCGAGCAGTGATCACTGGTAGTCACACCAGTGTCGCTCCGCACACAAGCCGCAGCTCGAGCACACAACACTCTCTCTCTCGGTAGGGGGTAGACAGCGTCCTAATCTAAAATCTGAGGATTCAGGATTGAGGGCTTGCTTCAGTGAGGCCAAAGTGAGTTTATGGATGGGTGAGAACGATGCGCGACACGAGGAGTCACGCGGACCGACTCGTCGGTGACTCTGCTGCACGCCGTTTCAGAATTTTTCTCAGCGTGAGCGAGACGTGGAAGAGTGCCACCGTCGGGTAGGACGGGTCGGCCCGGAGCATCAGAGTAGCCGTCGTGGTCGCGGCGAGCAGCGCCGGCCACTCCGGCGCCGCGTCGGCAACGTGGGAGCATGTCCACCGCCACTTCGCGGTCGCAGCGCTGTTGTCACCAGAAACGCCGCTATGTACCTTTTCGGGCAAACCATCGATCTGTATGTCGATTTCGACTTGACGGCGGCATGGAGGCATCATGTCTCCATGCCGCCGTCAAGTTGGAGCCAGTCTGCGGCGACCACAGCGCTCAGAAAGGTACATAGCGAGCTTTTCAGAGTCAAGCGATTGCGCGAAATCCCACACTGGTGGATTTTGGTGCGCTGTCTACCCCCTACTCTCGGTCTCAGAACAAGTGAGAAGTGTCAAGTGACTGTGAGGGCCAGTGAGGGCGAGCCAATCGCTGTCACAGCTGTGGTAGCCGCACAGTAGGCTGTGTCAACTGTGCAGAGTGTGTGAGCAGCAGAGGAGCTGCACTCCAGGCTTGAGGCGCAAAGTAGAGATGCATATATGCGGCCACCGCCGAACGAGAGGCGCTCTCTAATAGACGAGGGGCGCTGTCGAGGTTCGCCAAGCGTGGCGAAATCCGGGGAAGCCGCCGACGACGAGCGTAGAGCGCTGGTCAGAATCCGCTATGGCGGCGACATGCACACGAGCTGCGTCCGTGTCGCCGCCCATAGCATAGCGGCGAGGCGCCCGGCGGGATCGTCTGTGGCGCGAACATAAGCCAGGGTCGCGTCCCCGGATATTTCTCGCTATCTCTGGCACTCTGGGTTCTGTCTCTAGTCTCGGAGGGGGGCTTGATGGTAAGATATTTATTATCACCTTACCACAGCCGCCATGGCCCCGACGCCCCCCCAGAGCTCCCCCCTCCCCTCCAAGGGTCCGCCGCCCCCCGCCAGGCGAGGCGCGGCGTGGCCGGCGGGGTCTCTTCGTGCGCGGCGCGCGCCACCTCGTCTCACCACTCATCTCACGCGGGGATCTCACCGTCTTTCCGGAACTGCGGGGTCTGCTGCGTCATCTTCTGCAGTCCCGACAACAACGAGGAGGTAGTGGCCTTCGGCCGCGGCTTCGTTGGTTTCCTGGGGGAGGTCCGAGCCGCCGACTTTTGTGATCTCTGCGCCTTACGCCGCTTCCACCGTTCGTGCATGGCCTTCCTTCGCGCCGCGCGTTTCGGCTCGGAGCCTTTCTTGATGTCTGTGATGTAGCTCAGCCTCGGGAAGGAGTTTTTCAGGTACTTGTTGCCCTCAGCTTGGATGCGACCCTGCGCGGGGGTCTCGCCATATTCTGCAAAGATGCGGTCCACGACGCCCATGCCATCGCCCACCACCTCGGCGAAGGGGCTGAAGCCCATACCTAGACGGCAGACCAGTGACTTCTCCGACGAGATGGCGTTGTAGGCCGTGGCGGAGCCCGCGGCGATGCCGTCGAGGTTCTTATTGTCTTTTGTATTGACGAACATCTGCGTGGTCCTGCAAGTTGCGCCGTGGTGAGCTGTGGTCAGCTAAAGTGCAGCCCTCAGAGGTGCGGCAGGGAGCCCGCTCCTGCTATTCGGGCCAGAGGACGCAAAGGAGATGTAGCCGCGCTGGTTAGACTTCACGACCGGATCGTCTCTGATGGTTTTGCCCCTCCACTCGGCAGAGACTGCGGGGTCGCCACTTATCCTGCGGCACCACAGCGCGCGTGTGAAACCGGCCAAATGCCCGAGTTCGGGTGCATACTCGCACCCAAACTGTGTGATGAATGTTGGCACGACGCGGAAGAAGCGGACGTCTGTTCGGTAGAACTTTGCGTCTAACAGTTCTCTGAACCGCGCGGCGCCGAGCGGAGCCCACTCGGGATGGACCTGGCATCAGGCGGTCGCCTCTGTGTGAGAGCGGGAGCTTGGCACTGCGATAGTCTTTGCGGGGCCGCCAGCGCACCATGACCTCAAAGGAGTCGAGTTCGTCGTCCACATTGACGTAGAACGTGACCAGGTATGGCTTGCGGTTCTTATGTTCCACCAATGGCTTGTTGTCTTCTGCGCGGAGGCACGCTAACCGTAACAGGCCAAGAATCGTCGCCAACCATCGCATTTGTGCGCTGTTGGCCGCCCCGTCGTTTCGGCCGCGCGTAAATCAGCAGGACCCGCGTTTGTGATATTATTTGTTCGGGATCCTGACACCCTCCACACCCCGTACTCGCAGCTCGCGCGTTTGGCAGTCAGCGGCCGGCTGGGGCGGGGAGGGCGAAATTATAGCAGCTCTCCCTATTTTCACAATTCGTCAAGAACTGCTAGAGCGATGCGAAAGAAACCCCCACACTCTAAAACATGGCAGCAAGGCAGCATGCACCCACAGGACCCCCTCAGAGCAAACCCCACATGACCCACGCCCTGCGCCGCCCACACAACCTGACACCTCATCATCAGCACCCTTAGATACGCCGCCGCCGGGACAGGCAGAGTCCCATTCGCTCACGGGCCACGCACGAGTCTCGCATCCCGCACGGCAAGCTCGCCCTCGCTGACCCAAATCTCACCGTCCGGGCGCACACTCAGTCCAACGAGTGTGCGTTGGCCCACTAGTCCGCCAGTCAGTCAGCGCGATGAAGCAGAGCCTCGATGGCCGAGCGCGCGGCGTCCACAGCCATGGGCTCCCCGCTGAGCGTCACCGTGCCCGCGCCGCTCTCGTCCTTCTCCACGTCGATCACGGCGCCCGTCGCCTTGCGCAGCTCGCTCACGTGCGACCCCCGCTGACGAATCACCTTGCGAGTGCAGACCACGCCTCACACTTCACAGAGGGGTGGGGCGGGGGCGGGGGGGGGTCTGCTTTTCGCTGCACACACGCTGACGCCGCCAGGCAACGCTTGTGCTGTGGATAGCCGGGGGGGGGGGTGTTTGCGTGAATAGCAGGCGCGGTCTCTACTCGCTCGGCCAATCACCTTGCGGCGCCACCATCAGGGGCGTGCGCCAGGACGAGACGAGCGGGTCTGCGAGGACGGCGCGGCGCGGCTCAGGCCGATGCGCACCGTCGGCTCGCAACTCGCCGAGGCGGACGAGGAGGCCGACGAGTGGGAGCGCGCCGTGGAGCTAGAGAGTGCCGACGCCCCGTTGTCCTCCTGCGTGGGCTGCGCGGCCGAGCCGTCCAGCAGCAGCGGCGCCTAGTACCATACCTCCAGAGACTCGAACCGGGTGTGGGTTCGGTCCCGTTGCGGTAGGGGACTGCGCGGCCGAGTCGTCCAGCAGGAGCGACTCGACAAACTCTCGAGCGCCGGCGACGGCGGGAGGAGGGCCTGCGCCACGACCAGACCACCAGAGTCAGGGCGTGTCCGAGGGTAGGAGGCATCACGAGGCTGCACACACGGCGGAGCACAGCTCAATGCGTGTCCTCCCGTGCTGATCTCGGACCAGGCCTCCGTGTCTGTTGTCTCTCTAGCTCTGCGGCCGTGGGCTCTGGTCCCCAGCGTCGACCTGTACGATCTCGGGGTGTTCTCGGGCGTGATCTCGGGCGTGATCTCGGGCTCTGCGGCCGTGGAGCTGAAGCTCGAGCCACCCGTCGGGCGCGGGCGTCGAGGAGAGCTGAACCTAAACAAGAAATGCGGCCGCGTGTTTTCTTTTTTCTTTCTCCGCGCGACTGCTCGCCGCGTCCGAACCTCGTACCGCAGAGGGACCGTCGACAGGTCGGCGCTACATGGGGAGGCATGGGGAGGCATGGGGAGGCATGGGGAGAGATGGGGGGGCATGGGGAGAGATGGGAGAGATTGGGGGAGAGATGGGGAGAGATGGGGAGAGATGGGGGGAGAGATGGGGAGAGATGGGGGGAGAGATGGGGGGAGAGATGGGGAGGCATGGGGAGATATGGGGAGATATGGGGAGATATGAGGAGGCATGGGGAGATGTGGGGAGATATGGGAGAGATATGGGGAGATGTGGGGAGATGTGGGGAGGCATGGGGAGATAGCAGGGACCTCTCGGCGAGCTCGCGTGCGTCACGCGGCGCGAAAGTGAGAACGTACTCCTCCTCCGAGGCGCCTAGCACCATACCTCCAGAGACTCGAACCCAGTGTGGGTTCGGTCCCGTGGCGGTCGGGGACGCCACCGCCCTCGGCGGGGCTCAGTAGCAGCCGCCGCAGCGCCATCGCGACGCATTGCAGCACCGGCGCCTGCGCCACGGATACGCCAGCCTCGGCGCGTGCAGGCGGTATCGTGCAGAGTCTTCCGAGCGCCGCGGGAAGACGGGGGCTACGAGGACAGTGGAGTACAGGCGGAGCGCGGTCGAGTCGGCGACTAGCGCGCGCGAGACGGGTGTTTGCTCGCCTTCCCTGGGGACACCGTGTCGCGTGTCGGACTGCCACTGTGCGATGTCGGAGCCCGGGCTGGGACGGTGGCGCGGAGGGTGGAGGCGACACAGGTGGAGGTGCAGAGGGAGGCGGCTGGGTCGGTGGGGGCGCGGAGGGAGGCGACAGCGGCGGTGCGGAGGGGCGCCACTGAGAAGGATGGGTAACTGATTCTCATGGGGCTGTGCGTCTCTGTGAGTAGAGCGGGGCGCGGTCGAGTCCCGCCGAGTCCGTATCGCCTCGAGCGCTGGGCTCGAGATGATTGGGGGGGTAGGGAAGGGGTGGGGGGGTGG